AAATAGATAAAGATTTGTATTAATTTTTTTCAATAAGATATAAATGTGAAGCATCGTAATAAGTTTAAAGAAACTAAATGTGCAATCAGCAATACGCTCAAGCAGTGTCACAAGAATTTAAAAAACGTCCAAAATCTGAAACCCATGAAAAAATATATATAAAAGAGTAACACATGTTTTTATTGATGATAGTTGTAACATTTGTGTGCATGTGTTTGATATTTATGTATGAAACAATAACAGACTATAGTCATGTAAAGAGTTATAATATAAAAAATGTCACACAAAAGTTATGAAAGTATACGACACTCATGCGAGTTCCTTGCCTCTGGTAGATTCGAAGTGCTGGCCGACCGAGCATCTGGCAACTGCAAAATAAATACGGGACATCGTCGACGTTTTTCCATCAAAAGTCGGACATCATAATCCTTAACAATTTAATCTACACTCGCACTCGTGGCGCTTAACGATTTCCTGTGGGAATTTAGTATGATACTTTTTTTTATCCGCGCTATGACTTTTTTGCACTTTAATTCCCCGTCCTACTTCATTTTTACTTCGCTTCGCAGGGTTGTATCCAAGTTGTTGTTGGCCTCAATGAGAATGAATTATCTAACACATTATTCGCGAGAGAATAAAAATTGTGACTTTTAATATTAGATTAGAAATTCCCAATGTTGTCAGTAATTTTTTTCATTTCTAATTTCTGTAATCATCTTTAATAACAATTTGATAACATGTACCAACTATTTTTACATCTATATTATCTAATTCTATATGATGTACGTTTTGGACTAAGATTCAAATTAAAATCGGAGTTTAATATCTAGACCAGGTGAATCGATTTTGCGGTTAATTTAAGACGATCTTAATTTATCAAAACAATTTAACTCTTAGTATAACTTACAAGAATAATTAATTAACGTGTTCCTTAATATATTAGATAATAATAAGTATGAAAATGTTTATATAAGAAATGCAATATACTGTAAATCTTTTAATAAAGATTTTCGAATTAACGGAATCAGATATTAATAGTTACATGAACGAAAGAGGAGACGTATATTTTGAAATTGTAAAATTCGCGACGTTGACTTACGATTAAGAGACGTAGAAAATGCCAGGAGAATCACGAAGATAAAAAACCTGTTGTCCTGCATTTCTGTGACACCCGATGGTCGAAATTCTAAGTAGACGATGTGAAGCTTAGAATCGTACTGAATGTCTCCTGTTACTGGACGTCCGATTTTATACCTTGCGCCCTCCACCGCCACTCTACCCGATTATGAACCTGCCACCCCACAGTTCAAACCCCTTGTCGTCCGCGTGTCCCCGTGCCTCTCATCCCTACTCTTTGCGAAATCGTATTTTTCGCAAGATTGTCCTATTAGCACACATTCCAACGTAATGTATGATATGTGTATATAGACACACACACACACACACACATACACATATATACATACGCGTATTTGCACGTGATATGTTAGGTTTTACGCACAATGGAAGAAACATTAAAAACAAGAACAAATATTAAGTAGTAAAGAAAGAAAAAAATTACAGAAATAGAAATTAAACTTAATAGGCCTTCTACAAAATAAACCATAAGTCATAAATCTCAGAAGTAAGAAAATTGACGACTGTGATTAGTCCATTTCTAGCTTATGACTTATAATTTATGACCTATGGCTTATTGTAGAAGGCCTATAACTCATAGCGTGAATATATATAAATAAGGGACACTTAATAAGTCTTATCTATCTCTCTTATATTTTATTCATATATATCCATTGTGCAATACATTTAATTTTTTTTTGTTTAACTCCTACTTTTAATTTCTTAATTTTCTAACATTTAATATTTGTTCCTGTTGCTAATATTTTTTTTTCTCCCATTGTAGCAGGGCTTTATACATATCACTATATGTATGATGTGTTATATCCTTTTTTTTTTTACGATCTACTTAAAACGCCATTAAACCTTTTCCCTTAGAAGAAGTCATTAGTTCAATCTTATCAATTATAATTTAGAAATATCATAGTAATCAGAATTTTCAATTTATTTAATAGCAAAGTACTCGCCATTATAATCTCATGGAAATTGAGTTTCGGCGGAATTGTCTGAAATTTTGATATGATGTGGTTTTCGGACTGAATAAATGTCTCCACTGTAGGCACAATCTCCGAGAATCAATTCTTCGCCCGCTATGAATCGGCAAAATAAAGGTTAATATTACAGACCCAACTACAATATCACTCTCATATATATCTCACCTCCACCTCATTCGCACCTTCCTCTACCTCACCTCCATTTTCCACCTAGACACGCTTTTTGTGTGGCGCGTACATGCGTACGTGCGTGTGGGGTTGTGCCTATGGGGACGTTTGTTCAGGATGTCGAGAACTACAACATGTTTCAGACAATTCCGCCGAAATCCAATTTCCATAAGATTATAGCGGGGTTCTTTTTACAGATCGTGTAAAATTATTTCCGTACAAAGAATAAAATGGCTAATGAGAGTAAAATCGCTGTTAGTGTTGCGAACTTATAATAAAAAAATATATATTTAATAGTATTCAAAATTAATACAATAAAATACTATACTAAGTATAATATAGTATTGTATTGTATTAATTTTAAATACTATTAAATATATTTTTTTATTATAAGTTATTCGCAACACTAACAGCGATTTTACTCTCATTAGTCGTTTTATTCTTTTTATATGAAATTTTCGAGAGTCTATTTTTATATTTAATTGTACCGTACAAAGAGTTGATTTGATGAAATATGCAATAAAGACAATCTGTATTGTGAATAGCATTTTTTACAATATATATATATGAAATGTGCGAAAACATCATTTTATCAATATAGTATAATATTTGCAACTTCCAATTTTCAAAAATTTTGTCCTTAAACATCGTGTCTATACACATGTGTGTGTATTATATGTACAATATCTGTTACTTTATATGCATACATATTATTATAATACTTTATGCATAATGATGAAAACACATGTACCTATATTATTAATTTTTATGATACAATCGATTTTGATACACCACGTGATCCTTCGGGGGTCAGCAAAGTAAAAAAAAAATTCTTCTCTCAAACCCACTTTTAAATGCATCAGCAAGAACATCGCATGCGACATCAATTATCGGGTATTATATCTGGTAATTCGGTCGATGCCGACGTAGGTGGAAAAGGAGGCCGCATTACAATGATGCAGGATAATGTATAGATTTACGTACGCGTGATGAGATTATCGTGCGACAGATTATAACGCATTATTTGTGCGTGACATTTTCTCGACACGTTTTCCCGTGCGATCTTCCACCGAGAGTAATCTTCCTAACGCGTGTAAATGTTCTCGCGATGCTTTTTTACACTATTCCTGCACAACTGGATACTTCCGATTTTATAGAGGCAGAACATGGTTCTTTAAAAATGTATAGAAAAAAATGTCAGCACCGGCAAAGTCAATTTACCTCTCCAAAAAAAGATTAGGTATTCATAACTTTAGATAAAACATAAATAATTTGTATATGTAATATCCTCTCAGAACTAGCACTTGCAAATATATATAATACCTGTATATTATTTATACTTAATATATAATAAAATTATTAGGAATGATAATATATTAGTATATATTATCGTTTATATACAAAAAACACACACACACACATATATATATAAATATATTATTTTAATATAAATATGTTATTATTGTATATCTACACAAGTCAATTTTGAGAGGGAAAAGAATTCATACGGAATAATCTTTCCGTGAAGAATTTTTTGGAGCAAAGAGAGAGAGAGAGAAGTCGATTTAACTGCAGACTGAAAAACAAAAAAATTAATAAGCGATATTCTACGATTAATTCGTAATTTCATACAATTGATCGATACGTTTGTGAAATTTGGTTCGTAAAAGTTACAATGTATATATAAAGGAAAATTAGATAAACCAGTGATTTATTGTCTCGTGAATAAATAAGGCTTCTGTATCGCAGTTTAATTTATTTTCGATGGACACGATATGCTGGTAGTGAGCGTTTCATTTGTATGCGTATAACGGCTCATTTAAATATAAAAGAGCGTCGATGAGGAGCGTATCTAACGCTTAGCGCCAGTTTACCATTTAATTAATTGTGCACGTGTATCCTGTATACGGATATGAATAGGAACACAGATATGGAGACATGCGACATGTATTCAGTAGATTTATTTTAAACGAAGTCATATAGATTGAGTTTCTCGAAGATTTCGATTAATGCATATAATGAGATTGCGCATTTCACCAGTCGGTAATTTTATACATCACTACAAGAAAAAAGAAATGGTAGTTTAATGCCGAAAAAATAACGAGAAGCAAGTATCTCTTTGGACTTGGCAATAACATGTTATTTTTATCTGTGCGTTATTTTATGGCACCTCAATATAAAAGATGTTAATCACAATATTCTATTTTAAGTAGGTTAATAATAAATAATACGTTTTATTAAAGATATTAATTTACGGTCTAGCACTTTAATAGATAAAGATAATTAGCAATATCCTTTATAGATAATAATAGAGCAACGTAAATATCTCATAAAATTAACTAATCTAAAATAGATCTTCCTAGACATCTTGCTCAATAAGTCTGTGAATATTGCAATAGTTCGAAAAAAAGTATAAAAATATACACATAGTACGGACAAAATAGAAAGCTACACGCACATCCATTCATTTTTATATCTATTTCTTAAAAATATAAAAAAATTTATATGGACAAAGAATATTTTCAGGTAATATCGAATAGAGAACAATGTTTTAATTTTTACTTTTTATATGACTGTATTTTTACAATATAAAATATTTGCTCATTTTTCAAAGATAAAACATTTTTATAGAAAGAAAGCGATAATATATTATCTATGTATTCTACAATGTACAATAAGAATTTCAGTCTTTTTACAAGAATACACAAAATCCAACGTTATCCTTCAATGTTCTTTATCAGTCGTTGACTTTTTTAAGATATGAGTAACGCCGTATTGATATAATGCGGCATTAATTTTCTTTAATTTGTTAATCTCTTTCTGTAGATCGTTCAACTTCTTCGTCGTCTGATCCAATCCTCGAGAATCGCTACTGTCTTCTACATAAGATTCGAAGTTCAGGATCTCAGCCGAATTTCGTCCCCTGGAGACGACCTCGACGATGCTGTCCCTGCCACCGTCGTCCGATGTCCTCTGTAGATTATGCACCTGCAGGCGCGGCTTAAGAACAGAGGCGCGAAAATTGTCGAATCCTTTGGCGAAGAACGCAGCGGTGACAGGTCCCTTGTGTTGGAGTGTCCTGAGTACCTGCCGGCTGGCGATGTCCCAGACATGAACCGTGCCGTCGGTAGATCCAGACAGCAGAGTACAGCAGTTAATGGATACCGACAGGGCGGTCACGTTTGACTTGTGCGCCTGGAACACGGCGCTTTCTTCGCACGAGCTCACCGTGACGTGATGCTCGACTCCGCGCGGCGGTTCGTGCAGGTTGCATTGGAATATCTCGCCGGTGATACAGCCGACGAAGAGTTCGCTCTCGCGGACGTTGACGGTGACCGCTGTGAGCGGCGCGTCGAAAACCAAGGAAAGCAGAAGATCTCCACTGCCGAGCTCATAGACGTTCGCGGTACGATCTAGCGAGACAGTGTACAATCTCGCACGAGCACCACCGTGACCAAAGTACAGATCCCTGACTGGCAAACTATGATTGGAGAAAGCATGAACGGGCGAAGAACGCGTGTCGTTCAGCGCACTGTAGAGCGACCATACAAACACCAGACCGTCCTCGCCAGCGCTGGCGAATAACGAACCGTCTTTCGTGGTGGCGAGACAGCTGACGGTCTGATAATGCCCGGTGAGATTCGCCAGTAACCTGCCGTTGCATGTCTGCCAGATGAACAGCTTCTCGGCCACGGAGGCAATTATGTAGGATCCATTTGGCGTGCAGATCAAGGCGCTGACTTTGCCCGGCGTGGTCAATCGAATGTTGGGCAACGGTAACGGGCTGTTCAGCGGCCAGATGTGTATACGAGGTCTCGTCGCGTCCGCGCCCAACACGTAGCTGTCGCTCAAAAGCTGAAGGCTGCGATGTCCAAGTGCCGTCGCGTTCTTATACACCGACAACAGAGAACCGTTCCGGGGATCCCACACTGCGGCGCTCCAACTCTCCCCGGTGGTGTCGCTCGTCAGGATCACTTCTTTCGCGTTACTCGCTCGGTTCATTTTGGAAGGGTAAACACGTGGTACGGCATGCAGAATAGGTTAGGTGTTTTGAGGTATACACTTTCTGTCGAAAATAAGCCAATCCAGATAGCGCGACTGTCTCAACAATTTCAGACACCGACTATCGGTGTGTTGGTACACTTGGTGCATTCATGAATCATATAGTTTAGTTTAGTATTGTCGCACTTGTCGCGCTTGTCGGTATAATTATTTTGATTAATTCTTCTGTTAGAAAAAAGTAAAAAATAGTGAAGAATATTCAGAACATACGAAACAAAAATTTCTATATATTTTTCAATTCGATTTATTTTTTTGTTTTTCTCCGAAAAAACTTAACCCTCGGGTCGTCACTTAAATGCATTCTAATTTTAACTTCCTAACACATTTTAATTGTTTTCTAAGATCCTAAATAGTACACACTACACACACGTCGGTATCACGTGACATCTCTGAAAGGTATTGTATTTCGAATTTTTTGTGTTCTTTACGTATAATTAGTTAACTTTAAATCTTGTGATTCTTTGCAAAAAACATCGAAGAGAAAAAAGGTATCGATTGAAAGGTGATCTCCTTATTAATATCACTTAATAATATCGACGTAAAAACCGATCGCGCTTTATTATTTACCACAATTCGACTCGTTCGATCATGACTGGAAGGTTATGTTACACCGCGGTTACATCAATTCTTTGATCTTTTTCACTTGAGGTCAGTTTATCAATTTACTCAATTAAGTATCAACGGTGATTAATAATTTCTGCTTAATGACAAGTGTAATTAGTGTCAATGGAATAATGAAAAAAACCAGCTCGTTAAGTTAACCGGAAAGTAGTAAAAATCATCAATCCCTTTTCGTAGCCTTGTCCTCACTTGCTCATGGGATTTATTGATGATGAATTACAAGAAGTATCACAGCTTTGTCACAATGTTGTTGACGGAAGTCGCCTCGTCTCTTGCATACGGAACATGGTCCGCGTTGAAATAACGTAAGAAAACTGTACAGCGTGCTTTTATCGCACAGTCAAAATAGTTTTCTGTCATCGCTTATTATGATTTGTTTGTCTTGCAGAAAAACACCGTTCAAACAGCTTGTTGTGTGCATCCAGTTTCAAAAGGATTATCCTGCATCGCCGTTATTTGTTGAGTTAAAAAGTAAAACTCTGTCCACAAAGTTGCTAGATGGATTAACAGAGGTCTGCGAAAAAGAGTGCAAGCGTTTGTTAAACAAAGCACAGGTTTATACTTGGAGAGCTATACATACACGAGTTATTTATATTTTATATAATAAATTCGTTTATTTGTAGATATTGCCAATTTTAAAATTTATTAGGAATTTCATTGAGGACAATCCTCTCATTTGCTGCTATGAAGAAATAGCAACGTTGAAAAAGCTTTTAGGAGATAAAGACGAGTTCAAGTTAAAGCAAAAGAATTCGTCCATCAATCTAACATTACATCAAGATTTGTATCATTTCAAGACCAAGCTTGAAGTGCCGGACAATTATCCTACCAGTTGTGTTACGTACGTCTTTTTTTTTATAAAATTATTACAAAATTAAATCCAATATGACTAATTTATCATTTATTTACAGTTTTGGTGATGTTGATACGAATTTCCCACCACTATTCAAACGCTATCTAGTTGGACAAGGAAGGGAATTAGCGAGGCAATGTGTCGAGCCACCATTGAAGAAACAGCAAAACCTGTTTACACCATCACCATCATTAAACACAGTTGCTTCATTTCTCATAAAGTAATTTTTATTTTTACATGAAAGTTTTATTACGTATTTTTAGATATTAGTTTTTTTATTTTATTACATTCTAATTTATGCAGGAGTGTGAAAGCTTTTCCACAAGAATCCTGTCAACACTGCAAAGTAAAGTGCTTGCCAACAAATCCCAAAGAGATTGTAATCGACGAAAATGCGGATTTCCACGCCGAAAGACTTTATTGTGGTCATCTCTTCCACTTAAAATGTCTCGTGACATACATGAAGACTCCGCCATTCCATGGTAAACAATTAACGCTTTCTATTTAATAAAAAAAAAGAGTTATAAAATAGTTATATTATACAAAAATTAAAAATCTTTATTTTTTATGTTACAGGGGGTAAGAAATGTCCAAGTTGCGGTCAACGCGTTTATCATGACAAATGGGGATTATCTGACAAGTTGGCAGAAGCCCGTTGGGCCCATCAAGAAGCACGAGTGAGAGAATTGGCAGAAGTTGAAGATTTTTTCAACTAATATACTTTCATCCAGCAAACTTGTGAAATATGAGTTTCACAATAAAACTTACTGGAAGTAGGGATGTGCGATTTTTTTTTCAAAATTATGTATCACAATTGCGACCTTTTTCAAAAATCACAATGAATGCAATTCAATTGCGAGAAGATTGTGATTTTTATTTATATGTATGTATTATACATTGTTCAACTGTCAGTTTTTATCATATTAAAAATTTTTGGTAAGTTCAAATTTCTCTAACTCTTGACGATAGTTTTGGTATTGTTATATTGTCGTTATCGCACAGATATTATATACACATAGAAAAAACTTGAGCGACAACAACATAACCAAAATAATAAAAAATATCGATTGTTAAAACGCAGATAATATGAAAGCATTTATTTTTTAGTGCAATACTATTGAAAAATTCCTAAATAAAATTCGGAATATATTTTCAAAAAAAAAAGAAATACTCTCACAAAATAAAAAATTCTATCAGTTTTTGTCGCACATTAATCGAATTGTTTGCACGACAAAAAAATTGAAAAACAAGTAAGTATAGAATATTAATTGCAGATGTAATTTTAAATCGCATGCGACTTAAGAGCCAATTACATATCGCATTGCGATTAAAAAAATATAAAATGCAATATATCACAAAATTGTACATTTTTAACTGAAAGTACAATATAGTAAATAGAAATAATTGTGTGTGTGTGTGTGTGTGTATGTGTGTGTGTACACACACATAGTATAACAACTGACATTTTGAATTAAAATGAAATACAAACTAAAATTAAAGAAAAGAAACCTAACTTTATAAAATAATATAATATTTTTTTATAATAATAATGTAAGAGATAAATGCGTCAAATAATTTATAAAAGTTTGAGGTTTTAAAAGAAATGAAAGCGAATATATCTATATTATTCTTATGGGATATTATCTGGTTAAGATTATTATGATCTTGAGTCCTGAGTAATTAGTGAACGCCATAAGGAAACAGATCTTGGAAGCTGTTTTTAGCTTTTATGATTATTATTATTATTGCTATTGCTATTTTTTAACAAACTCGTGTGACACTCAATTATTTTAACGAAAACGGTAAATAATATTAAAAAGAATTTGAAAGAAGATAATTTTTGAAATATATTTATAAAAATACTTATCCGCGCGCTCGCGCGCGTTTGAAATATGAACAATTAATATTTTTAAGAAATAGAAAGTAAAACAAAATATTATTGTATAATAATAGGTATTAAATAATTTAGTCGATAAGAATATTTTTTTATAGATACATTAAGATTACTTGTGCTAATATTGTTAATTATGTGTTTTATGTGAAGATAACAATTATATTTCATACATGTGCTTCCAATTTTTTCATTTTCTTTATCAGAATAATTATTATAGGATTATTTATCAATTTTTATGATATTTTATAAGATTATAATGATTTAATTCTGAAATTTGTTTAGGTGCAATCATTATTCTTTTACTAAAATATCAATTTTTAAGTAATACGATTTAAAGTAGGATAATTTTAATAAAAATGTTTGAAAAACGACAGATGGAATAATTCATACACAATTTCTTTAAATTTAATTATTTTTTGTTGATTAGAACATTAGAATTGAAATTAGACATTAGAACTAAAATTTTTCTTAAAGTTTTTGTAACAGACAAAGATGTTTGTGCATTAAGATGATAACAAACAAAGTAATTAAGGATTTTAATTTTACAGATATCAATATATAATAGAAAAATCTCTTTAATAAGAAGCTTTTGTCTTCGCTTTATGATTTCGCACAAATAACATGATAAATCTCTATTGGAGTGCAATAATAAGAATCAGGAATGAATAAACCTTAAAATAAAATTGGGAAAAGAGATCTCTGATTTGTCTTGTATATCGAGCATTATAAATATATTTGTAATCTTATATGTCACATACGTTAATACGCTGTCCGAAGTAAGTCGATACACGTTCAGTGATAAAAGTAATTATAATTAATGTGCAAAATTATCTCAGAATATGAACTGAAGGTGGATGGAGGGGTGCATCTCGCGTGTATGCACGAAAGTTGTGACCGTGTTCGTGACGTATTGATCCTCCGTACCGTCTATAGTGATATTTTCTCCATATCTCTCTCTCTCTCTCTCTCTCTCTCTCTCTCTTCTCTCTCTCTCTCTCTCTCTCTCTCTCTCTCTCTCTCTCTCTCTCTCTCTCTCTCTCTCTTCGGTTCTCTCTTTTCTTCTTCTCACATTTTCGTTTATTCTGTCACGCGTTTATTTTGCCACCCCTTTCGTGACAGGCTAGTGTTTCTTACACGTATATCTATATCATGGGACCATATCTTCGGACATATATATGGCATATTAAAGTAAACGCGAAAAAAGAGAAAAAAAATGCGCGGTATACGGTAACAGAGAGCCATTAGTCATAAAAATTGTTCGAGACAGCTTCTTGATTTTAATTACTTTAAAATATTTGATGGATTAAAAATTATTTAACAATCAGGTGGTTCTTCTATAATTAATTCGATATTTCAAATAAATTGAATATTGATGAAATCGTACCATTTTTGTTTTGAAAATAATTCAAATAAAAATGTATTGGAAATTTGTCATCGTGATATTTTTCAGAAATGTTGTATTTGTTTTTATTAAAAATTAAAAAATTGACATATTTTTTAGAAAATATAGATTTTAAATATTTCATTGAGTTAAATTCTCGATTGAAGACTCACTAGAAGATACAGAGAAGCAAGCAATTAAACTTATTTTCTATCATTCACTTTTAACTTGGCGTGCATTTTAATTTTTATCTAAAATGTCTATTTTAAATTAATATCTTTATATATACTTAATCTTTTTGACAGATTTTACTTAATCATTTATCAATTTATCTTTTCGAAGACAACTTAAGACCTATGTCTATTTATAATTTATATTCTTTTCCTGAGAAGATTTCTTACATTCAATTTTCAGTGTATTATTTATTATTATTTGAATTATTATACTTATTGTGCGTCTCTTAAGTTTCCTCACTATTAATGATAATGGAAAAACGCTATAAAGTTACTTTTATCATACTTTTTATTACAGAATCGTTGCAAGTAAAATTAAATTTTGATATTAATCGACTGCTTCTTTTGATATACAAATAGCAATAATAAACAGAACTCGTGCGAATACATCGGTTCCCAAGGGCGATCGACTAAATTTTTCTCCCGCCGTACGCTCGCATTTAGTTCTGGGAGACAGCCAGGCAGACTAATTCCTATGTTATCGATTTCACGCATACGTGGAAACGTACGCTCGTGTCGTACTCATGTAGGGCGGACTCTCACCGTGTTCCTTACACCTGAAACGCAATTACGACGACGATGTTGACGGCAAATCTGGATCTTTAGATTCCCACAATGCGTATCTATATACGTTCTCCTCTTTTTGCGCGAATTCGTTTCCGATTGTAAGAATGTTACGTAAAAAGTATATTCGTTGGTTCACACTGGGAAGATTCCCGGATCGATTTCTGGGCAAGTCGCGCGGAGAACGTGGCCGCAAATTTCACGTATCACGTGAACAATTTCATTATCGCAACGGCGTTATTAATCTACGTTTGTACTCGCATTTGGGTCGCTTCCGACTGTATACGTGCGCGGCTGTTCACCGGCTACGGGTTTGTGAACGATTGCGAGGGGTTTCCTCGGTGTATGCACCTGGAGTCGTTCACACCGATTTATCTCGCGCCAAGAATAGCCTGGCGTTTCTTTTCCGTGCGGCCAGTGATATATTAATATAACGCATGTTAATGTCAATGTTACAGAGACATTATAATATAGTGACGTACACATCATTATGTTATCATTATAGTAAATACAAAACAATAAACAAAAGAAGTTGAAACGATGGAAAAGAAATTTAGGTTACCGCAGTTATTGGAATGCAATTAGTTTGCAATATTATTTCTAAAAAAAAAAAAACGACTGAATATAATAAAATTCGATTAAACGATTCAATTTAATGAATTCAAATTACAGACAAGATAATCCTACTGATAAGTTAGTTTGATCGAACAGAGTTCGCCTCCTTGTATAATCAATGAAGAATCAGTCTCTTATTTGGGCGATGCATAAATTTCATGGATCATCCTTGCGGGAATAAGAGGCTAATGCGGCCGGTTGCCGATGCGTGTTATATACACACGATACACCTATAATTGCACGTGGGACAGCTTCGTCGTAACGCTTCATGGATCGATAGCCGGGAAATGGCCGGAAGCCAAGTCCGACGGCGACGTCGTTTTGAGTTTTGCCGTTGTCACAGAGTGCGCGAGGGCCAACCCCTTTCGCCACGAGTGTCCCACTTCTGTTTCAGTAACCCCCGACGCACATCGCCCCTCTCAAGATTCCCACCGAGGAGTTCTTCTTGTCCTCACGTTCTTTTGCAGAATGTCAAAATGCAATTCGATATACAGCGACAATGCCGAAATGGAACTCGCCGCACACACACACGCACACATACACTCAAACATTCGTCACGACGGAAATTAAATTGTCCGCAGATATTCTGTAATGTATTCGTATAGTTTAATAGATTGTTGTAGCAATCTCGCGTATTCTCTCGGGCGAACTTGACTGTTTCATCGATTTGCGAAGAGTATCGATCGAATTTTCTCCGACAGTATGCGAAAGAAAATCCGCCAAGTGAAGGATGGTATTAGCTCGAATTAATTTATATATTCGATTCGAGTTAATGTATACACTGGAAAAAAATATACTAGATATTTTAATAAATATTTCTTTGATTATTTGTAAGTAATCATTTACTTAATGTTAACATAAGTGATTAATTTGATTTAGCTATCCTTTTTTTTTTTTTTAATATAACAAGCGTTACCTTAACATTTATATTTTTATACATACGCTGGTTGAAATAATGCGTGAAAGAAATATTCCATTTAAATATCATGAATTTAATTTTACATTTTTGAAATTATGAGATTATTGTAATAAAGATTGTCATCCGCTTGCTTCTTTTTGCTTGTTTATAATACCGAAATTTATAATATCTTATTTTTGTTGTTTTTATCCTTTTTTTATTGAATAA